TTCTGCATGTAGAATGAGCATTTTTTAGTGTTTGTATAGAGTTGATACTATCTCAAGTGACTCAATACTTCTTAAATATGACTATCATATTCTTCTTCTATTTTTGAGAAGATTAGAATGTTATTCAAGTATACTATACAGAAGATGTCAACAAGGCCTCACAGTGCCTCATTTATATAGATCTGAAAGATGACTGAAGTGTTACAAAGATTAAAAGATAAAACAAGATATTCAAAATTATCATACTTGATACAAAAAGCTGTTTTTCAAACATTATCTTCATTAACTCTGATTCTATGATAGATATTCTGTTTATTAATCTTTGAGAATATCTTTGCTTCAGATAATTAATTGATCATCATATTAATTAATGATAATGAATAGTAATTCTTAACTGTCATCTTATTGAGACCTCTGTAGTCTATGTATAGATATAGTCTACTATTCTTCTTAGGCACAAATAGTATGAGTACCTCTGCTGAACTCTTTGATAAGTGTATTCAGTTCTTTGATTATACTTCTTCAAGATATTTGTACAGAACATTCAATTTCTTTACTAATAAGTTATAAAGAGACTCATACAGCACTGTTATATCATTTTTAAGACAGATCTTATATCATATCTTGATATCAGAAAACTTCACTGCTTTTCTTTTTAAAAAGACATTCTTATAATCTGTAAAGAGATGTCATGTATGTTCATCTTCAATAACAAATACTGCTGCTAATCTTGCAGTGAGAATGATGACTTCTTCATCAATTCTCAAGTCTCAGTCATCTGCTATACAGTATATTGACTCTATCTTTTTCTCAAGATTCTTTCAATGAAACTCTTCAGATTTCTCTATCACTATCTCTTCATTAGTGAGATAATACTGTCATATCTGAGTGACTCAGTCAATGAGAGAATTATTTTCTCTCAATTATAGAAGATTTAGAATAATATTCTCATCTATAATATTAACAGTATGAAGAAGCAGACTGCACTTCTTGAAGATTTCTTCTAAGTCTGTGATCACACACTTTACTTGAATTATCTCAAAACAGTGATATTTTATTTTATCAGTAAATTTCATATAATCTGACAGATCTATCTTCTTTCAATTCTTCATCAAAGAAAAGAAATAGAATATGAAGTTAGTATTTATCTCAGAGTCAAGTAGATATCTCACTGATATCTTCTTATTCAGAATATTCATTGTGATTGTAACATGAACTTAGAGATATAAGAATTATCAATTCTTCATTTCTTTCTCTTCTTTATCTTCTGTAGATACATTTGTCAGAAGAGAAGTTAATCTTAAGAAGATATTTTCTCAGTTTCTTCTCTTCTTCAGCTTCTTATAATCACTAGTATAGTGATTATCAGCTTCATAGTTGAAGCAGAGATCTTTATCAAATCTTTTTTAATATTTCTTCACAGTAAGTGAACAATTGAAACACTTGAAATTCTTCTTTGCATTCTCTGCATCAGAGCTGTCACAGCACTGTTTAGATCTTATCATTAATTACTTAGAAGAGATCTTATTAATCTTTTTCTCAGAGTATTAATTATTCAAATAGATTCAGAGAGCTAAATTGACAAGCTCAGTGTAATTAATTGATGAACTCTGATACTGTGATATCATTGTCTATATCTTGTAAGTCAGTTTCATGAGATAAAGCTATGTTTTTAATTAATTCAAATTATCAGTCAATTTCTCTCAATATTCTTCAAATCTTGTATTGAAATCAGAAGGATTCTCATCATCTTATTAATATAATGAGTTGAAACACTGTATCACTGTAAAGCTGCAGTTGTGATAATCTTCAATCTGATTTAGTAGAAAGTCTTTGAATTCTTTCTAACTTATGATAGCATTGATACACTCAAGCTCTCTCTTCTTAATAACTCAAGTAGTTGCAGAGATGCCTTCAAGAAGATTGATAGTGTATATTACTTATATCTTATGAGTATTAAACTGGCTCAGATTAAGATGAAATTTCTGTTCAAGAATACAAGTAAAGTTGTGAAATTCAGATAATATATTTCTCTTATAATTCAGAGAATCTTCAATCTTAATCTCTCTATCTTTATAATAGATGCAGATGTGTAGAGGCTGCAGTGATGACAGAATAGTTGAAAATACTATGCTAAAATATACAGTGAGTTCAGAAATCTCAGATTTCTGTCAAGATAGAGATGTACATACTCTAGAAGATGATGTGAAGTTTCTCTCAGAGAGTGAGATCAGATCAGTCTCAGCACAGATGTGTGAGACTATATTAATTCATTAATAGAGCTTAACTGATTCAAACTTGTAATCAGATTAAGTAATTTGAATTATAACATAATGAAATCAAAGCAGTAACTAGTCAGCAGTGTTGTATAGAGATAGTTATTTGAGAAGTTATATAAGTAGACTTAACTATCTTACTTAAATAGCAAGCTCATGAATTACAGAGTTATTGCAAGAATATCACAGATATAGTATTTAGTATACTAAGAAGATTGTATAAAAAATGCAGTAACTCTTATATATATTTCAGTAAAAGAAAAATAAATCACTGACTTCTTTAATCAGAAGTCAGCATCTAGCTATTCTATATAGATAATGAGTGAATACTCTTCTCTCATTTCATGAGTAAGAATAGCTGAAGTAATACCTCAGTGACATCTCACTATTATAAAAGAGTAATCTGCTGACCTTATATAGAAGTGAGATTCTCATATTTATCAATCAGTTCTTTCTATATTATATCTGAATGATGTTATAGAGTGGTTGAAAACCGGTTTAAATAATCTGTGAAATGAATGAAATCATTCACATGAAAGTAATGAGCCGTGTGAAACCGCAACAAGGTCTTGTCGCGGTCAGAAGCGTAACAATAAAAAGAATTATTATAAGAGAAAATAATCTTCTTTCTTAGCTTAGTTATAATTTTAGTACTAACTCAGATTGAATATTATCAATATATAAAAGTAAATAAATAATCTTGATTAATTTCTGTCATATTTCTTGAAATATATTAATATTGTGAAAGAGAGTGTTATTAAATTACATTATCAGATAATATTATTAAAAATATATTAATATTATAAATATCACTATTGAAAAAATGTTGATCCTTATACATTATAGTGATTTGTGAATTATGATAGTTAAATATATATATATATATTATTTCTGACATTGATTACAACTTGTACAATAATTTTTAAAAACTTAAAATTAATTTTAATTATTAATAATTATGAACTTATAACTAACTAATATAAAAAGAAAAAAAACTTTTTCTACTTATTATCTTTCTTCTCTTTCTCATTCTTCTTATTATTCTTTATAATTCATTTCTTATTCTTATTCTTCTTCTTCTTCTTCTTATCTGAGATAATAATCATTTTAAAATCTCTCTCTATTATCTTCTCAGAGAAGAGTTTCTGCTGCTCTCTCTCAGTCAGATCAATCTGTGTCTTAAAAGTCTGTATTTTCTAATCTACTGTCTCAGATTTCACTTCAGTGATAAGCAGACTAATATACTCAGAGAGCAGAGCTATCTTCTCAATATTCTAAATCATGAAGCATATTTAAGGTCTGAATAAGTCTTTAATTCTCTTCTTCTCTATCAGCTTCTGTTAATCAATTAGAGAATAAAAGTATTAGTAAAAATTATTATCTCTTAATAAATAAAAAAATTATTAGATTTAACTTCTTTATCTTCTGCTTTAACACTCTCTTAATCTTCTTCTACTACTATTTATTTATAGTAATACTCTTCTTCTCTCTCTCTCTCTTTATCTTAATCTTAAATTATTCTCAGAACTTCTTCTAGTCTCATCACTACTGTATAAGACTCTGTACTATCTTCTTTTTCAATCTCTTACAGGCAGTGTTATTCACATTATTTCTATACTTAGTTCAGTCTAAATCTATCACAAGTATTACTTAAAATCATTATTATTTTACTATCTTACAGAGTCTCTTCAAGATATTTTTTCTCTTACTTAAACATCTTCTTCTTCTCTCTCTTCAATCTGTTATGATGCTCACGTGCCTTGATAGTCTGCAGAACTTCAGAATATTTAAAGAGAGATGACATGATTAGTTTCAGTGAGTATTGAAGAGAGATGAAGATAGAAGAGATAATTAGAAATGATATAATAATTATGATAATAATAATGATGATAATGATAATGATAATAATAATAGTAATGATGATAATGATAATAATAGTGATAATGATGATAATAATGATGATGATGAAAGAAAGAGTGTATTAAAATATATTACTGACTTATCAAATATAGAGAGACTTAAACAAAATATTAACAGCTTTTAGAGATGTACAGAAACAGCTACAGTGTTATATAGTAATATCATCTTCATTTAATACATGCACTATTAATATTCTTTGTATACAGTTATCATATAATCTGTATCAGAGATACATGCAGAAAACAGATCTTTGTTACTAGAATGAATAATTGCAGCAATTCTCTATTTTTATATTATAAAGATAAGCTATTCTCATTTCTTTCTTCTCTCTTTTCTCTTCTTCAATCAATCACTAATTTCAAGCTGATATGAAAACTATTAAAACACTCTCAGAAACTCTCAAATTGAAGAGTATAGACTAATCAAATTTCAAATACAGAAGAAATCAAATTATCTTCTACAGATTCAATTACTCATCTCTCTTTTAAATAAAATAGCAGTTATGTCTCTCTCTCTCTTCTTCAATCAAATGAAACATAGCCTGTGAAAAGCAAGTACCATGTCAGATCATAATAATTAACATAATCTCAGTATGCAGAGCTGCATACATACAGTGTATGCTGAACTGAGAGACTGTGTGAGTTATAAATCAGTAGCAGCATCTCAGAGAGAGTTATACAGTGTGAGAAAGCTACAACTCTCAGTCATATATACAGAGAATGAATTACTACAGTAAGTGTATATGTATTATATAAAAGTAACACTTTTTAATAATACTCAGTCTCTGATATGATGAAAATATAGTCTCTCTGTAAGATCTGTTTTTATCAGAAGTCAGAAAATCTTATATTTCTCAAGATTATCTTCACATATCTTATTCATGAAATTGATGAAGAAAATCATCAATTTCAGTATTCTATTCTTGATATTATTCAAGTGATAGCAGAGTTCATTCTGATCACACTTTTTAAGTGTATATTTTCTAATTATTCACATTTATACAGATATATACTGATTATTTATTAGATAATATTTAGATAATACATTATTATAACTGTGTTACTCTCACTGTAAGAGATACACAGTTAATAATAAATATTATAAAGACTCTGAGAAGTAAGTATTTTAAGAGTACTGCAGCTCTGTAATCTTGATTTTTTTTATTTTTATTTTTTATTTTTTTATTTTTATTTTATTTTTTTTTCTTTCTCTTTCTCTGTTTTTTTTTTCATTGTGATTTTTTCTTATTTTTGTTTTATTTTTTATTTTTTTATTTTTTTTGTATTTTATATTTTTTTTATAATTAAAATTATATAAATTATAATCTATGTTCAGAAAAGTAATGATATTTAATAATACTCTCTATTAAATTTTCAATAAATGAGTACTATGTTATGATATTATATAAGTAAGAAATAATTTCATAATCTCATTTAATGTCATTCTCAATAATAAGATCAGAATGAAAATGTAACTAAGAATTTAAACATATTCTTTATCTAAGACTAGATTTTTATTTAAAAAGTAAATCTGAGATCTTTAATATTTGAAATAAGATGATTTGAGATCAATGTAAGAAATATAAATCATGATTAGAAGTAATGCTTTTAGACAATATAATAACTGTAAAGTTTGATCCTGATCTCAGACATGATTACACAGTCAGTCTAGTAATTAATATCTCAGTTTGAGTTAAACTTTCACTTTATTCTCATCTCTATTAATGAAATTGTTAAAATATTACATATTATCAGTATAATAGATAAATATATACTCTTAATAATTTTTTATAACTTTAGAATTAATTTAATATATAAATTCATTAGATTATTTTAAAGATAGTAATTAAATTCAGTTCTATAAGTATACAGTTTTATCTGATTTTTAGTTATAATTAATATGTATAAGTTCTATTTCAAAGTTAGTATTTGTGACAGGCTATGTCTGATCAATTATATAGACTATTCTGTTACACTTCACAGATTTCTATCACTCTGATTCTCAGTCACTGATTCTTGACTGAAAATCTACAGAATTTCTATTCTTCTGCTCCGAAGCTTCACTGTATACAAAAACCTCTATTCTTTCACTCTGAAGTTTCACCGTGTACATCATCATGTACATGTATAAATATTCACTTCAATCACTGATTCTCACACTGTCTCTTTCTTTCCTTCTCTAACATTTTTCTCTTTGTTATTGTAAGAAGCCTACGCCGAATAGATCAGTATAATATATAGATCTTATATAACAAAGAGAAAAACATTAGAGAAGGAAAAGAAAGAGAAAGTGTGAGAATCAGTGATGAAAGTGAATATTTATATGTGTATATGATGATGTATGCAGTGAAGCTTCAGAGCGGAAGAATCTATATATGTTAGTAGTGACTGAGAATTGGCAATCAAGAATGGCTGAGAATCAGAGTGTATACATTTATAACGGCTGAGAGTCAGTGATCAAGAATGGCTGAGAATCAGAGTGTACATGTTCAAGAATGAAGTAGTTGAAATCTGTGAAGTGTAACAGAATAGTCTATATAATTGATCAGATGCAGCCTGTCACATTAGCTTCTCTCTTTCAGAAGTAGTTCTCATCAGTCAAGAACTGCTGTTTTGAATAACACAGAACTCAGAGTTCAGATTGATTAATTATAGCTAACTCATTTCACAAGATATTGTCAGCTGCAGCTGCAGAGTCTCTTATCAAGAATATCTTCAATCTCTCACTCAAGTTCATTGTCTTCTTCTATGATCTCTGATAACTGTCAATCAGAAGTCAGTTGAGAAGAGAATGAATTAATGATAGTATGATGAAGCAAGCTTGTGTGAAAGACATTATAAATCTCTGATGATATGTTAAGATAGTAATTATGACTATCTAGAACTTCTATCACATTATATCTGATATGAGAGTAATCTAGTGTATAAGATGAATGTATAATTCATATATTCTTAAGATTCAATTACATAAGATCTTCTATCTTATACTGCTCTGTGAGATCTTGTCAGATATTGATTTAATCTTCTTCATCTTGTTTCACAGTTATCATGAGAATCTCTGCTCAGTCATGAGCATCTCAGAGCTTCATTACTATATTATCAGTGATTTAAATTAAACTGTGAGAGTTCAGTATGAACTGTGTAATCTCTAGAAGATTCAACACTTTCATGTGATATCTGTGTGTAAGAAAGAATGAGCTTATATCTGTTGAAATAATATCTCAACTGTTGATAGCAATCTCTGTATATAGAAGAAGATTATATTAATCATCTTATAAGTAGTTATAGAACTTATAAAGATAATTCTTCATAATCTGAATTATTCATTCTGACACATCATCAATCTCAGAGTGATAGACAGTTAACAGACAGTGTGTAATCTTGAGAACTTGACAGATTCTTATTCAGAGAGTGCTCATGAATTGACATCTCTGATTCAATACTATAGATCTCAGCAATTCATGTATCTGATAGAATGAGCTCTATAGAAAAGCTTCAGTGACTTATTCAGTATTCATTTTATCACAAGATTTTAATATTATATCTTTGCTCAATTGATTCATGATGATTAGAACATTTCTACAATTCTTGCTCTCAGATAGATTAATAATGAAGTCAATCACTACATCTTATCAGATTCTATCAGAAATATTGAGTGATTTCAGTAGATCTTTTCTACAGTTCTTTCATAAGATAATGAAAGAACAGTGATTGCAGTTTCAGATGAAGTATCTGATACTGTTTAATATCTCAGGTTAATAGAACTCTCAGAAGATCATTCTATACAGTTATTCACAGCCTGAATAATCAGTCATATATAAATCATGCATCTCTTATATTATTCAGATGTGTAAGAATTTGAAGTGAGAGACTCAGTATTATTCATACAATTATACAGTGTTATTATCATCAATTGAACATTCTGAGATGTCAGTTCTTACATATAATTCTGAGAGAAATCAGAGTACTTCTTATCATACTGCTTCAGTGAGTGTTTAGAGAAGTTTATCAGTTTGAGCTGCTGTATACTATAGCTCATCTAATATAGATTCAGAAGAAGTTGAGATATCAGTGACAGTTCTAATTGAAGCAGTATATATAGTGCTGTGAGCTGTTTCATCTTAATCAACTAGTATCTTTAAATTCAAGAGTCAGTACTCTCAGTTCATTCAGTGAGTATCTGTTACATTGAATAACATATCTTACTCTTATTGAGAGAGGGCATCTGTCATCAAATTCTGACTGTCAGAACAGTAGTATATTGTAAAATGAAAGTGACTTAAGAACTCAGATCATTGCATCTATCATTCAGTGAGTTTATAAGTGATTGTGAAGTATTTAAGATTCTTATAATCTATGACTATCTCAAATTCAAAGACACTTCAGAGTTCAGAGTCTCATTCTTCTAAATAGTATACAATTGTAAGAAGTTTCTTATCATAGATCTTATAATTGCATTCAGTGAGACTCAGTTTCTTAAATATGAAGATATATGATTGTAGAACATTTTCATCATTATATTACAATATCACTTCTTCTGTTATATAGTCAGAGAAATCAGCTTTAGTAACTGTCTCATGATCAGAATTAAATATTATCAGTAGAGAAGTACTAATGAACATCTTCTTTATCTGTATAAATGCAGCTTCAGTATTCACTGATTATTGAAATACTAAGTCTTTCTTAGTGAGTTCTGTAAGTGATCTTACAATATCTGAGAAGTTTTATATAAATTACTGATAGAAGTTAGCAAATCTGATGAAGCTTCATACATCTTTCACAGTGTGCAGAGCCGTTCATTCAAGAATAGCAGAGATCTTCTCAGAATTCATTCAGATTCTCTTATCAGCTTCTATAATAAAATCTAAGTATTTAGTACTCTTGACTTTGAAATCATACTTATTAATATCAATTAATAGTTCTGCTTCTCATAGTCATTGTAATACTCTTTACACATACTCTTGATATTTCTTTCTGAATTTATCAGTGAGGATAAAAATGTTATCTAGATAAGTAGATGTGAATTCATCAAGAAAGTCTTGAAGTGCTCAGTTAATATACTTCTGAAATGTACTGAGAGCATTGATCAGTTCAAAGAGTGTGACTACTTATTTAAAGAGATTATATTATGTTTGAAATGCTGTAAGTCACTCATCTTCTTCAGTGATATAAATCTTATGAAACATGATGATAACATCTAACTTTGTAAATCATTGAGCTTGTTCAATATGAGTTAGAGTTTCATTGATAAGAGATAAAGAATAACAGTCATTCTTTGTTAATCTATTCAATTCTTGATAATTCATGCAGAACTGAAGTTCTTCACCTGATTTCTTTACAAAGAGAATAGAGGCTGTGGCAGAAGAGTTACTAACATGTATGAATTCTTTATTCAACAGATTATTGAGTGTCTTTTGAAGAAGAAGAAGTTCATCTTAAAATATATTATAAAGAGAGTCTCATGATGATTCAGAGTTCCTATCATTCTTTTTCTCTAACTTGATACTGTGATTCACTTCAGAATCTTGTAAGAAAGATATGTTTGTAATATTGTCTTGTCAGAAGACATCTAGATATTCATGATATTATTGAGAGAGTTTTGTATAAGAATCTGTTATTGTAATATGAAATAACTTTTCTAGAGCCTTTTTGATATCAGTCAGACTGATGAAATATATTGTCATATAATCTCACTGTCAGTGACTTCTTTTTCAGAGTATTTTATATGCATTGACAGAGATCTGTGTCAGATTCATAGTCTTATGAATATCATCTTCATGAATTCTATTATTGTTAGAGAATATCAAGCTTCTGTTTTAAGTGTTTAACAAGATGCCTTGTTCAGATAGCTAGACAAGTTCTAACATAAGATCATAATCAAGATTATTAACTTCATATATATAGGCATCTTCATGTAGATGTTCTCTCATATCTATAGTTAACTTCATCATGTAATGAGTACAAATGTCTTTTG